TTCTCTCTTCCCCCCAGCCAAACAAAAAAAAAATCAAGTTTTTATGGACATTCAACCCCCTGCAAGTTGAGTCCCCCCCCTGCTGCTGCGCTCCGGTGAGAGCTGCAAGAGTTACTGGCAATTTTGGGCTTCCACCAGATGACTTTGGGGCTCCCCAGGCCAATAAAGAGGTCACCACGCCAGCCAGCGCCTGAGTGAGGGGTCCCTTGCACCCGGAGCGGCTCCTGGCTCCCAGGTAAAAGCCCCGGTGAGTTACGGCAGCACCAAGCGCTCACGGCGCACGATTCATCCTGGAGGCACTTTACAAACACGGTATTAAATAGTTATTAGGCATCACGGTTAACGAAGCGCCGGGTTCGCCTTTTAGAGCAGCTTCCTCCAGGAGAGCCGAAGCTGCCCAGCCTGGGGAGGTGAGCGGGGCTGTGCCGGAGGGTGCTGGGAGCACCGAGGGATGGGGATGGGATGGAAATGGGGATGGAGACGGGAATGGGGATGGAGTGGGACTGGCGAGCAGGAGCTTTCCACCCCACCGCTCCGGCTGTGCACGGAGGTAACCTTAAACACCGAAGCAGGAACGGCGGGGGCGGGGGTTTTCCACCCCCATTCACAGGGGGGCCGCCCCCGCGCCCCGCCCCGGGTCCGTCCCCGCCGGCAGGCTGGGACCGCGCGTTAACGAGAGCGCTCAGAGGCCTTCCAACTTGTCTCAATTAACTTTGCAGTAAAACCCGCGAGATATTTTTATACGGGCTCCACTGCAGCGGGGCGGGGAGGAACGGGGCAGGGATGAAAAAGTTTTCAAGTGCCGGAGAGAAGTGGGCGTAATAAACCATTTGTTCATATAAAAAAGCCCGTGCTGTTAAAAACCAGAGGGGCTGCGGCACAGGCACCACCGAATGTTCCTGGCCCCGGGTCCAGAAGTAATGATTTTTTTGGCCTTTTTTTTTTTTTCCCTTTTTTCTGGTTTATTACAAATAATATTTACCTTTGTGCTAGTTCACATCTTGATGCTGTTAAACACGTGGCCGCAGCTGGTTTCCCATTCAGGGTAATGATATAGCGTCGATGTTATGAAGCAAAACCGCGACTGCGAGCCAGAACACCCCACATTTAAAAATCTATTACTTTTCAATATTATATGAATGTATTTTGCTTCAGCTCAGAGCAATTTCCTAGTTTACCCTTATTAAACCGAGAGGGGGCTGAGCAGAGGTTCTTGATTTATGAAACACATACTGGATTCATTAAAACCTTTAAAGATTTAATACATTTTATCAGGGCCTTAAATCTGGGCAAGCGTTTTTAAAAAAAAAAACCCCAACCCCAATACAGGGTGTATTTCATCTCTGGCGCCCTTTTGCGCTTATTTAAGAGCTGTAAAATTTGGATTGACAAATTCCAGGGATGCTCCGTTCCTTATTCCTAACGGGCACTGGGTCCCTTGTACGTAACCCCCGGGGGTCTATCGAGTGTAAAGATCAAATTATTCTCCTTTCCTGGCGCTTTATACCTCTCTCCCATGCTTTTTAGTTGCAGAAGGGGAAGGTTTGGGATGCTTTCCCGCCCCCGCCCACCCCGATAAGGGCGGGGGGCAGCGGGGCCGGACCCGCGGGG